CCAAACCGGTGGTCCGAAATGAGGTTCTCCCATCTCCCTTGTTGTTCTTGGATGTAGTAAAGGACCAGTGTGAGAACCCCCTGTCAGGGTTTCGCCTTTCTTCCAGGACAAGAGGTTCTTTAATGTAGGTCCCTCCTTGGCTAACGCATTAGCTCTCCCAGCAGTAGACTGAAGCGAGGGGTGTTGACTGGCCTGAAGGTTTGTGTTCTGGGGTACGTGGTGTGCCGAAAATCTGACCCCTTGGAGGAAGTAGACAGCACTTTTCTCTTGTCTCGTGTTTCTACCACATATGGATCTAAGGCTGTTCCAAAGAGGTTTTCTCATGAGCAAGGGGCCGCCGCCAACTTCCACTTATGTTTGGAGTCGGTCTACATTGAATGTAATTTAATCTAATTGACATCCAGCAACTATTTATCAGATTTTTTTCTGTTTTCTATTTGTACAACTTTTGCACCTAGGATTAATTTATTTTATAAAAATTTCAGAAGTGCATGTGTGAAAACACAAGTCATTGTTCAATAGCAAATAAAGCATAACAAAAAAGAAAAAACATACTCTCCTCACCCAAAAAAAAGGGGGAAGGAGAAGAATCCCAATTCATGACATGAGGGCAGATAACTTATAGAACTGTCTCTTTTCAGTGATATCTACCCATCCTGTAAGATCCACTTTTATAAACCACTTTTAAATGTGTAAGTCTCTGTGCTGTGTTTTGCTCCTGGGTTGTCTCATAATGGTAGTCATGCTGTGAATGCTCTGACATAATAGGTGTCTGGAATTTCTGTTATGACCAAAATTAGACTTGGCCTGACCCTAGTAGCTTTCTATATTGGTTTTAAAAACTGGTTTTGTTGCCAAGCCTGAACTTCAGGCAGTGTGGTTGAGTCTGTATCTTTGTTATGTTAAATATGCTGTTGTTGTTATATCATGTATTGGTTTATATTTGAGATGGATGAATAAAAGAAATAATAACGAAACATTGTTATTGTTTTTATTTGAGGACATAAAAATGATGCACTATTACTTCTGACCAATAAGTCTAAAAGTAGCATAAAGTGGTTTTCATCAGCTTACGCTGATTTACCAGCTACAATCCTACTAGACAAAATTTTAATAATCCATGCCCTGGTAATTCAAGATTTTTGAAATCTGCTGTACTGCTCAGAAATTGCTGATAATGCACAGGGATGGAATTCAACCAGCGTTACTACCGGTTCAGTGATTACGTTTTGCGCTCGCATGCACGTTTCATGCGCACGCACTCTATGCGCGCATGTAAAATAACCTTAGGCTGTGCTGCCCGGACAGCTATAAAAAGCGCTGCGCGCAGGTGCGCAACGTTCAAAAGGGCTCTTTTTCCCTGCTTTTTCAACCGCAGCTGTGCCGCGCAAAGCAGCTGAGGTTGAAAAAGCAGGAAATAAAGGACAGGTAAGAGCCCAGGTGGGCGGGTGGGCCAAACAGCAGCAAATACAGAACTGGTTCTGTGTCTGCTGCTCTTCAGAGCTACCGGCTCTATAGAACCGGGCAGAACCGGTAGCATCCCACCCCTGATAATGCACCCACACATCAGGTTTATATTATCTTCACTGGCATCCAGTTTGCTTCTACAAGTAGTCCTCATTTTATGATAATTCATTTAAAGACAGTCTGGAATTATGACAACCTCAGAAAGAGTGCTTTATGGCCTCTAAAGCACTTTCAGTAGTCACAAAATGTTGTACCACTGCTACATAGTCACTTGATCTCGATCTGTGTGCTTTGCAATCTGTTTGCACTTACAATTAGTTGCTAAGTTCCCTACAATCATATGTTTACCATTTACAGTCTCTGCCAACTTCCCCAGAAAGTCAGCGGCCAAGCTCGCAAGGAAGGTTGAAAGCTGCTGCCACCTACCAAGAGAACTCTCTCATCTCTGGGAGCTGACTGAATTTGCTGCTTGCCAACAGGAACTGAGTTCCTTTGGCAGGGTGCAGAAATGAGCTCTGTTCTTGCATCCCACCAAAAGCATTCCTGTGCACGGAGGGGAGCTGAACTGCAGAGTACCTTAAATGGGTGGTGGAGGCCTGATGCAGGCCGCACATGAGTGTCTGTCTTTTTACTCAGAGGCTAAAAATCCTGCTTGCATTTCAGCAGAGAGGATTCAGCTGCTGAGCAGAGAGGCAAATAGTGTCTTGAAAAGGCCTTTTTCATATTGGTCTAGCTTTATGTTTTAATGATTTTACTATTCAATCTTTAACATATTCATTTTCGAGATTCATCGTCATGTTAGACTAATGGGAGAATGCATGGACCAATCATTTAAAATTTAGTTTGAATTATAGTTTAAAATATTTTTTTTATAAAATGATGTATCGTTGGTATTTGGCTCTGGATAGATTGGTGAAAATGAGTAGAGGGACTGGCAACAAGTGCTGGAAATGCAATCAGATTTCAAGTATATTTTACTATATGTAAGTATGCTAAATCATATTGTCAAGATTGAACTGCTTTGTTTCTTTCAAACCTTAATGTTTTTCGACTTGCCAATAAGCTGGGGAAGGATGGGGGAAATGGAATGTGGAGAATGTATGCAGAAATCGTGAGACCATGGAAGCCATCAAAGTCATTGCTGCAGGTGCTTAAGAAACAGATGGATTGTTCCCATAACAAAAGAATGTCTCATAATTGGACAATGTGATCACCCAGGGATGGGAAGAAAGGGAAGGTATTGTTTAATTGGGCAAGTATTTGTATGGGAAAAGCTAGTTTTGTTTCTTAAGTATCAACGTGATGTATCCAATAAAGTTTTACTTTTGGGAATTCAAATCTTCCAAGGGTGTTTCATTGCTTTGGGTTTGCTAATTGGACAGTTGACATATATTGGATAAATATAATAATGACAATGCAGAAAATACATAAAATACAAATCATAATGACACCTGAAACCTTTTTTCTAGATATTATGGAAAAATTGGATAGAAAAACAGTTTGGAACGCTATTTCTCTTCATTCTGCAAGGATTATTTATACTAAGCATTGGAAGGAAAAGAGGATGCTGACTGTTGAAGAGAGGACTTTAAAATGGACCAAACTGGCAGATATTGCTAAATTAACTCCATTGATTAGAGACAATGGATTAGATAAGCTTATAAGAAACCGAAAGCCATTTGTGGACTTTTGCGTGTTAAATACAATAACAGATGGGCTTTGAAGATTAATTTTACTTTTGGGGTTTCCTGTTGACTCCTTTTTTATATAGCGAACAGATGCTGGGTCAATTCAACTGGTAGATAAATAGGTTTCTACATCAGTGACATCTTTTTATATAAATAGCATTTTTATTTTTGTTGAATATAGATGGGAAAGATCTAATCTGGCTTGGTCAGTGGGACCAGAAATGTACTGTTCCAAGTTTTTGGACTCATGCTGGAGCCCATCCTCAGGGACCTTCTCTCTACTCTGCTCCAGCATGAGTTTGAAAGCTTGGAAGAATAAATCTCTGGTCCCAGTGACCGACCCAGATTCGATCTTGCATAATTATTCTGGGACATGTATATTTGCCTTCATTCGTGATATATGGGAAAGTTTACAATTACTTATAGACCTGTTATGTAAGAGGACAAGAATGTATCAGATATTTTAAATATATTTTTCAACTTTCATTCAACCAGGTGGATTTTCTATGTTCAATGTCAGGGAAATAATGTATTTACTAGCATTATACCTCACAATTTCCTTCAAAATATTGCTCAAGACATTCTTTGGCTTGTAGGTTCCTTGAAAAAGAGCATCTCTGTCTGATGTGTATTAAGCAACAGTAATAGGAATAGCATTTAGACCAGGGGTGGGATACGACAGAGTTAACAACCGGTTCAGGATTTACGAGCTTCCCTGCCCGCTGTGAGCCACGCACCTGTCAATCGTCATTAGCATGTCATTAGCACGGTGCTGCTGCCTCTGCTGCCGAGAAGCAGCCTTTGAAACAGCCTTTTCTTTCTTTTTTAACTGCAGCTGTGCCTCGTTCAGCAGCTGAAGTTGAAAAATCAGGAAATAAAGATCAGATAACAGCCCAGGTGGGTGGGTGGGCAAAAACATCAGCAGATATAGAACCAGTTCTATGTCTGCTGCTCTTCAGAGCTACCGGTTCTACAGAGGTGGACAGAACCAGTAGAAACCCACCCCTGATTTAGACTGCTCACAAGTTTACATACCCTGGCAGAATTTATTATTTCTTGGCCATTTTTCAGAGAATATGAATGATAACACAAAAACTTTTCTTTCACTCATGGTTAGTGTATGGCTGAAGCCATTTATTATCAATCAATTACTCTTTTTAAATCATAATAACAACAGAAACTACCCAAATGACCCTGATCAAAAGTTTACATACCCCAGTTCTTAATACGGTGTATTGCCCCCTTTAACATCAATGACAGCTTGAAGTCTTTTGTGTAGTGTAATTCTGTAATGCAAGAAAACTGGATGAATATGTTATAACAACATACATCCTGCAGTTTACAATTATCTCACATCCAGTTCCTCTCTCCCCAAAATATTACTGCTGTTAATCATAATAGTTATAAAAGCAATTTACATACATTTTGATAAAGTAATATATTATGAGTAATATATTATGAGTAATATTTAAATATTATGAGTAATATTTAAACTGGGATGAGGTGGGAAGGGAGAAGGGAAGGAAGACTGAATGATTATGCACTTTCAGGTTATACAAGAGAAGTTACAGGTCTCTTAGCAATTAAAAATTGTAATAAAAATAATGACTATCTTTAGTGAATAAGTTTCATATATTCTTTTTTTTACTCTGTATCTTTTTTCTATTATTGTATTGATATATAGACAAAGAACTTTTTAGATTTCTTTGTGTGGTTTATTTGAATATAAGTGTAAATAAATAAACCAGTCAAGTCATCTTGGGGTTGCCAGACTTGAATCTCAGCAGCGTTCTTCCTTCACATACAAGTAACTTTTATGATATTTAATTTTGTCTTCTGATTTAGAACTTTCAGCCGTTGAACCTATTGTTTTTCTTCGACCTTTTCTGGAAGTTATTCGATCAGAAGATACCACAGGCCCGATTACTGGACTAGCTCTGACATCAGTAAACAAATTCCTTTCGTATGGACTAATAGGTATGGACTGAGACAATTTTCTTTCTTATTGTAAACTAAAACGGTCACATAATCATATTATGGGTGCTTGGAAATCAGCTTTCAATTACAAAGTTGCACTGTTCCAGGGTCATGTGATCACTATTTGCACACTTTACAGCCAGCTACCAACAAGTGGAATCAGTGGAGAAGCTGCCAGTAAAACCTGAAAATTTCAATCATGTGAAGTCTTGCTTAACAACCACATTGCTTAGCCACTGAGTTGCTGGGCCCAATTGTGGTAGCTAAGTGCAGACTACCTGTACAATAAAATCAATAAAATATAACAAAATAAAGGTAAAATATGGTAAACATGATGAAGCAATGGGTCACACAACAGACCCTCATATAGCTCCAGCTCACATTCCTTGAGCCTCCCAAGGCTCCATGCTCCTTACTGCCCCATTGGATCCCTATAGGCTTTGGGTTTGCTTTCTCACCCACCAGGCCCCCACAGGCCATGGGCCTGCTTTCAGTTCTGCTGGGACCCACATTCTCCTTCAGTCCCAGATGTAGTTGCTTGCTCTTCTTTCCCAGTGCAATCTCCCAATTCTCTAGGGGTCTGGAATTTGTGTTGGGAAAGGAGAACAGGTTGCTCTGCCTGTCAGCTTCCATGCAGGCTACATGATTCTGTCCTAGAAGTGGGCACCATTTTGAATTACTCCATTAATTAGAGAAAAGATATATTTTACTGGAAATCAAGTGGTAGCAACAAAAGAATTCTGAATCTGAGAAAATGAGCGTGTAAATCACATATAAAAAGTGATGGCAACGTTCCCACCCCCAATAGTTCAATTAGCTCATCCAATTAAAACTTGTGTATAGCATCATGTAGGCATCTCCAGGTGGTGATGAGGCCTCTGTCCATTGACCTTGACATATTTTGATAAAGAGTTGCGGCTGCGCATAGCATAGGATAGAAGCCTAAGCAAGAACCTCCCCCCCCCCAACTTATACAGTTCTGTTTTGTAACACCTCCAGCTTGCTTCCTATAACCATGTCCCCCCTCCACCCCCCGTTACTTATGACAGCCGAAAGATGCAAAGCAAAGGGAGAAAATCTTGAAGGCTGACATTCGGCCCTCCTGCAAAAGAGGCGTTAGTCCTATAAAAGATAAAAATAGAAGATAACAGAAAATATACATATAACACCATAATACTATATTTTAGGATTTATCAGGATATTTAGTATGAAATGCATTGATAAGCTTAGGAGCTCTAACATCCTTCTCATTCACCCATTTGGACTGGGAAGGAGGAAAATGTTTCCAAACAATCAAATATTGGAGTCGACCCCTTTGTTTTCGAGAATCCAAAATTTCTTTAACTTCCAAATGTTGTTCACTTTCAATTAGCAATGGCATGGGGGGATCGACCTGAGTCGGTCTCAACTCGGAGGTATGTTCAGGTTTTAATAAACTAACATGGAAAACGGTGGATCCATCGGAGGGTTTTAGGCAATTTCAGTTGGACTGCCACAGGGTTCACAATTCATTCAATTGGGAAAGGTCCAACATACTTAGTTCCAAGCTTTTTTGACTTTTGTGTGGTCTGCCAATATCTGGTGGATAAAAAGACCTTGTCACCAACTTGATATGGTTTTTGTGGAGTTCTCTTTTTATCTGCAAATTTTTTATGGGCCTGATGAGCATCATCTAATGCTTTACGGGTAACCGGCCAGGTAAGCTGGAGCTTTGTTATCCATTCATCTAATGACTGAATGTTAGGTTTCTCCTGTGGAAGCTCGGGTATGGGTACAAAGTCTTGTCCCGAAGCCACTTTAAATGGAGTAAACCCAGTACTACTATGTACCAAATTGTTATACGCCACCTCAGCGAATGGCAGAAGTCCAATCATCTTACTGATAATTTATATAACATCTAAGATACTGTTCCAATACCGAGTTAGTCCTCTCACAAGCCCCATTGGTTTGTGGGTGGTGGGCGGAGCTTAAGCCCTGGGCGGAGCCCAATAACTTCAGGAACTCCTTCCAAAAGTTTGATGTAAACTGGACACCCCTGTCTGAGATTATGCGTTCAGGAACCCCATGTAACCTGTAGATATGTAAAATAAACAGTTTAGCCAACGTTTTTGCAGATGGGATTTTCGCACAAGGTATGATATGTACCTGTTTGGAAAAAAAATCTGTTACTACCCAAATAACTGTATTTCCCCCACTTTCAGGTAATTCCACTATAAAATCCATAGAGATTTCCTTCCATGGAGCAGTTGGCCTAGCCACATTTTGTAGTAAGCCTGCTGGTTTCCCAGGAGGCCGTTTGGCTGAGGTACAGATAGGACAGCTAGCCACATAAGTCTCAATGTCCTTTTTCAAGGTAGGCCACCAAAATTGCCTTTTAACCAAGTGTAAGTCTTCACATATCCAAAATGTTCAGCAGCTTTAGAATCATGAGCTTGCTGTAATATGTGGTTTCTCAGCTTTGCTGGCACATATAATTTGGCCCCCACCCATGCCAATCCATCTCTAACCGTACAGTTATTTGAGTGAGCAAGGAACCAATAATCAAGTTTTAGAGCTTCTTTTAATTGTGCAGTTAAATCATTTGATAAATCAACTTCCTTCTTTTTTTGGGATCTGGTAACTACTGGAGTTGCCAACTGTTTGGTTGGGACAATAGGCCGTACCACTTCTTGGCGAGCACTATTATATTGAGATAATCTAGATAAAGCATCCTCCATGAAGTTCTTCCCCCCTGGAATGTACTTCAGTGAAAAATTAAAGCGTTTAAAGTATTGCGTCCAGCGAACTTGCTTGGGAGACAGTTTCCGAGGCGTTTTCAAAGCCTCCAAATTTTTATGATCCGTCCACACCTCAAAGGGGTGTTTTGCCCCTTCTAGGAAATGCCTCCAGGTTAACAGAGCCCAGAGAACTGCAAAAGCTTCTTTTTCCCAGATGGCCCATCTTCTTTCGGTTTCAGTTAATTTACAGGAAGTATATGCACACGGTTGCAAAGTCCCTGTCTCGTTTGCTTGTAGTAACACCGCCCCAACTCTTACGTCACTCACATTGGCTTGGATTACAAAAGGAGCGTCCATGTCCGGGTGCTTGAGTACTGGTTCAGCAGCAAACAGTCATTTCAGCTTCTCAAAAGCAGCTTGGCACTCCATGGATCACTCCAGTGATTTACTAGGCTTCGGTTTCACCTCTCCTTTGGTTTTTAGGAGGTTTGTGATAGGCATTGCAATCTTCACAAAAGCAGGGATAAATTGACGGTAAAAATTAGCAAATCCCAAGAAACTTTGAAGTTGTTTCCTGGTGCGGGGAGGGGCCCATTCCCAAACGGCACGAACTTTCCCTATATCCATTTCTATGCCGTCATATGATATTCAATAGCCTAAATAGTCATTTTTTTCCTGGTGGAATTCACACTTGGACAACTTTGCGTACAGCTCAGCAGCTCGAAGTTTTTCCAGAACTGACTGCAGTAGTTTCACATGTTCATCACGAGTCTTTGTGTAGATAAGAATATCATCAAGATAAACCAACACTCCTTTGTATAAATGTTCATGCAACACCTGATTTATCATTTGCATGAATACTGCAGCCCCCCCCCCCCCCCCCTGTAGGCTAAATGGAAGAACGTTGAATTGGAAACAGCCCATTGGGCAGTTAAAAGCAGTTTTCCATTCATCCCCTTCCTTAATTTGAACTCGGTTGGATGCTTCTCTCAGGTTGAGTTTCATAAAAATTTTCCCTTTGGCCAAGTGGGCCAACATATCCTTCATTGAGGGGAGGAGGGGGTACACGTTCTCCACTGAAATAGTCTTGAGGTTTCTATAGTCAACACATAAACGCAGAGAGCCATCTTTCTTCTCACGGAACAATACTGGGGCTGATACTCGGGGCTTAGCAGGCTGGATGAAACCACGTTCCCAATTTTTATCAATAAATGACTGCAGTTCTTTTAGCTCCCGCGGTATCATCGAGTACAGTTTTGGTTTTGGGACTTTCACTCCTGGCAAAATTTCAATGCTGTAATCTGTTGAGCGATGGGGGGGGGGGGGAAGCTTGTCCGAGGCCTTTTCACTGAATACCTCCTTTAAGTCCCAATATTCCTCTGGAATTTTCTCCTCCCCGCTCAGATTCTCGGTGCCAGTGGAGGCCAGCTCTGTGGGATACTTGGGTTTTGGTTGAGATTGCCCCTCCCCTTCTGGAGGTTGGTCAATACGTATGCGCAATGATCCCCTCCTCCAGTCGATGTGAGGTTTCCATTTTCGGAGCCAGGGCAAACCCAGTATTAGGGAGCGCTCCATCTCAGGAAACACAAAGTCTCTCTATGCTTCCCCATCGTCATTTCTACTGGTTCTGTTATGAAATGTGCAGGGCCGCCCCCAGCTACCGATCTATCCCGTTGGCAAAAAGCTATGGCGTTTTTAAAGTCTTTAGCCTTAAGCCCATTTTCTCTACTACCTCCGAGCTGATTACGCACCTTGTGTACCCAGAGTCTAACAAGGCCAACATTTCCCCTTTGGCTCCCGACGTGGGTACCCTTAATCTCACTGGAATGTTCATAGGGCCCTTGTTTGGACTTTCCAGTGAGTCGTCTTCCGATTCGGATTCACTCTCTTCAGAAGAGGTTGGAGTTCCCAGTTCCTCTCCTTTTGGAGGGGCGACCTCTACAATCTCCTCTGCTTTGAGCGCCGTTTCGTGAGGCTTTGCTGGGGTTTTTTCAGGTTTTCTTCCTCCTCCTGGCGCCCCCTTTGGCTCTAGCTTGGCATGGCAGTCTGCAGCCTGGTGACCTTCCTTCCCACATTGGAAGCATGCAGTGGTCTTGGGTTTTGCCGCCATCCCTCCCTTTTGAGGTTTTAAGGTTTCTCAAGGGCTGGAGGGGGAGGACTTGCTCCAACCAAGCCCACCCGGCCTCTGTTTTGGGTCAGATAAATTTCCACCTCTGCTGCCAGCATGTACCTGCAGCTCACTGGGGTCTCTTCTGGCAATACAGCTTTGATAAACATCTTCAAAAGCTTCTATCAGGGCTCCCTGGGATCAGCTTCGAATATGACACGCCAGCTCTCTAAATTCCTGGGTGTAGTCGGCCACTGATCTCCGCCCCTGATTTATGGTTCTGTTTTGTAACACCTCCAGCTCACTTCCCATGACCATGTCCCCCCTCCCCCCCATTACTTATGACCGCCGAAAGATGCAAAGCAAAGGAAGAAAATCTTGAAGGCTGACAGTGGCATATTTTCCTAGGAAGTATGTTTACACTGGCCTTGGTATATTAAACATTATTTTGTGTTCTTAGATTCAAATCATGAGGGCGCAGCTGAGGGAATGGAAAACTTGGCAGATGCTGTAACACATGCCCGATTTGTGGGCACAGATCCTGCAAGTGATGAGGTTGTCTTGATGAAGATCTTGCAGGTATATTGGACATGGTGGAATTTTTTTGGTATTATCTGTATCCTGCAAAACTGTGATGTACGTTGTGATCAGAATTTCCTCTGAATTCATTCCTGTTAAGAGGTTCTAATTAAACATATGAAGCACAAAAATAGAACATGTTTAATAAACATTTTCTAATTTTGTTGGGGGGGAAATGAAACATTATTTTGTGTTCTTAGATTAAAATCATGAAAGCACAGCTGAGGGTTGTGGTTAGTTTTTTAGGGAGTAAGTTGATGCAGATGTTTGTAAAATACAAATTTAATGGCTTTTTCTATAAAAACTGAACATTGGGAGTCTTTTCTTCACAATACAGCTTATGGAAATAAATTGTGCCCTGATCAAAGGAGATCCCTGCAGACCATAGAAAAATGATCTTTGATACTCATGATGTGGAAAATAGGCTACAAAATCATTGCCAAAGAACATGATTCATTGCCAATCCACTGTCAAATAGATAATATATAGACTGAATATAAAATGCAATACCATAGTTACTCATCCATCCAGAAATATCCCAGGAGCAAAGTATGCTTTACTATGGAGGCTGCAAAGAATTCCAGAATAATGACAAAGGAACTGCAGGCATTTACATTTTCTTATTGTAAGCATTCTTTGGTCTTTTATAAAGAAAAACCTGGACAAGAGTAGTATGCATGGAAATATATAACGAATCCATTGGTCTCCAGAAAATCCATTGCTGTCTATCTCACCTGAAAGATTCCACAGACTTTTGGAACAACTATGAAGTATGATAATGGGACTATCATAGTTTGGGGCTAACTTGCAATCACTGAAGGAAAAATGGATTCTGGATTATATCACCAAATATACAGGAAAGCTATAGAATATGCGTCCATGAGCTGAAACTTAAATGAAAGTCATGGAGCACAACAGTGGTCCTAAACTCATAAGTAAATCTATACAGAATGACCAAAACCAAAAAAACCTCACATTTTGGAACTTTGGAACATGAACATATAATGCCTCAACTTTAATGCAAGTAAAATATTGTGTATTTTACACCAGACAGCCTCAAAATACCAATAAGTTGAAACCGTTATAAAAGAGGCATTGCTGTGTTGAAAAAGGTGTTATTACATACTACCTCTGTAGTAACATTTCATATACTTTTTCCAATAAAGGCTTCATTGACTCACTAAGTTCAATAAAGACATTAACGTATATTATTTTGTAAATTATTGGTCAGACTTTATTCATTGACTTATCTAAAACTCAGACTACATTGTTAGTCAGAGTTCTTAAAAATTATGAGTAATTTTAAGGATTCACAAACTCTCAATCTCTCTGTTTGTTCATAGAGACTGATTTTGGGAAATGTTTTGTTTAGAATTCATGTTGTATCCAAACAATCTGTGGCAGGGAAAGAATATTTTTGCTCTCATTCACTTATATAGGACCAGTTGTCTAAGTGGTAATACTAAAAATAAGTATTCTCCCACTGTTGATATTTAAACTGTTTCTTTGTTATTTCATATGAATATTTTTGGTATTAAAATGTGATTAGAATATAACATTTCATATTGATTTGTTCTTTCAGGTCTTGAGGACTCTCCTCCTCGCTCCAGTTGGAGCTCATCTCACGAATGAATCTGTGTGTGAAATAATGCAGTCTTGCTTTCGTATATGCTTTGAGATGAGGCTTAGTGGTAGGTCTGCAATGTAAACAAGCAAAACATAAACATTTATATTATTTTGGCATATATTATTTCTGTATTTAATAAGTCTGAATGCTGAAAAGTAAATAAACATAAAATATGCTAAATGTGTGAAATTGAGTTTACATTCCTTAATTTTTTTTAGAAAAGTAGTAGACTTTGCTAATCATTTCCTGCTCTTCTGTGTCTTTTCCTTTCTCATCTCTACATTTCTCTATCTCTGTAGGGTGGCTTGGTGTATCTTTCCTTTTCTTTCTGCACAGCTGAGCCTGGATTGGTTTTAATAAATTTCTAGTAATCCTTTGTAAACAACACTTGGAGGGAAGTCTACACAAAGAAGCCTCTAGATAATATCACATGGGATAATGACACCTGTGTTATTTGTTTTTGTCTTCAGAGTTATTGAGAAAATCTGCAGAGCACACTCTGGTCGACATGGTACAGCTGCTCTTCACAAGGTAAACGTTCTTGTGTTTGTCTCAGCACTGCTCAAATGACCCTTCAAAGGTGGGAAGATTGCACATTTCCAAATATGTTAGTGTTTATGTATATTCATACTCTATTCGAAGTATTGCCAGGCCCTTGCAAAGCTTGTCCTTTCATCAGTATGTATCGTCTTCACTGGCAATAAGGAGGAATAAAATAATATATGAAACTGAGGAATATTATCACATAATAGGAATAACATAAACTAATGAAAAATAATGGCTTCAGCAACTAAAGACTACCCTAAATTTTCAGTCTTACTATCTCTAGGAAAACAAGAAACTCATCAAAGAACATGAAAGAGACGTGTTCTTATTGTGCAAGACTCCTAGTGAACTCTTTATGTTTCATCTGACAGATTCAACAGCCTTTGGCCTGACTAAATCTCAATAAATCATCTGTATTTTAGAGGCATTTGGAAAGCAAATTCTGTCATTATTTTCTCTGACTGTTCATAACTTGTATGACAAATTTTAGTCTTTTAAATATATTAAATAAATTATTGTGATCTTAGAATGCAGCAGTGATCTAAAAACTGAAAACTGGCACAGCCTGCAGAGTTGGAAAACTTTAATAACATCTAGTTTGCCATCCCTGTCTCTGCTCTAGTGATAAGCTGGTACCCCCACTTCTGAGCACTATAGTTCAAGAAGCAGTTACAGGTAGCCTACCCAGCATGAACTGAAGAAATGAGACTAGAATCCCTTTAAACATATCTGCATTGGAGACAAATAAACTGTAGAAGGGGAATCTGTGGCTGAAATAAAGTTGCTGATGTTACTGAATTATGGCTGCAAGTAGATTGATTCAGTATCAACTGTCATGTCCAACGATGAGTTGTAGCTCAGTGAATTTTCTGTTTTTATATCCGGATGAACAAAACCAATGAAAGGGAACCCAATTTTCTGTTGTCAAAATTCTCTGTTACCACTCCCCCCCCCCCAAAAAAAAATTAATAATAATTCATGGAAGCATTAGATTGAAGCGGCTTTGGAGGCCTTGTGGTCAAATTTCCTGCCCAGGGCAGAAATCCTCAGGCTATTGCAGACATCTGTCTGTAGCCATAATTCAGCAACACCAGCAACTTTATTTCAGCCACAGATTCCCCTGTCCAACTTTTGTTTGAAAATCTCGAGTAATACAGCATTTATGACTCCAGGTAAATTAATCCCCACTAGCCCACATGGACAAATGTTTTTCCTTATTTCAAATTTGGAGATCCCTCTGCAGAGCTCACACCCATTTGTTCTTGTCTTACCCTTTTTCCCTTTAGCTTTCTTTTCTTTAGGTTGAACATATATCATTCGTTTAACCATGGCATGAGGTTTATTTATTTATTAGCCTTCAAACCCGACACCATCTTTGTTGCTGTTTTCTGCACACTTTCCAGTTTATCAGCATGCTTCTGGACATGGCATTCCAAATGTGGTGTGACTAGTGCAGTGTAAAATAAAATTATTATTTCCCATGATAATATTATACCTCAATTGATGTAACAATGGCTCTTTTGGAAGCTGTAGCATAGTGCTGGCTAATGGTTTTCCAGGACATGAGAGCCTTCTTACAAGTCTTACTGCTGAGCCAGGTACGACCTATCTTATTCTTTTTCATCTACTCCTGTTCATCTATATTTTCCTCCTCCTATTTTCAATACAACAACCACACTATGAGATGGGTTGTAAATTCACTGTACTTAATTAAACAATTCTTTTCTAAATACTTGCAAACCTATTTCTTAATCATCTGAGTGCAAGCTGACCAGTGTTGTTCCCTGAGTTGTCCTTCTCCCCTTTTTTGAGCTTGGGAACAACATATTCCCTTTTCCAATACTCTGGTACTATACTTGTCCTCCAAATTAAAAACTGCTGAACCACAACCCATGTTACCATGATTATTAGTTAGCAGCTGCTTGTCCTTCCCCAATAAAACAAAACAAAGGAATTATATGCATCTAAAACTATGCTGTGTGGCCCATGGATGCCAGTAATAGATATAGAAAGGTCAGTTTTCATAAAATATTTTATGAAAAACACTTTTGAAAACTCTGAACAATTAGCTGGTATGTAGTACACAGGTTTTTGGTAATTACAGTTGAAGTTAAGTTAGCACAATATCCAGGATGGTTTAGAATAGGAGAAAATGATTTGCACTGACGGTTGGGTCAGCCCTTCAGTATAACCCAGGCCAGGAAACAGGCATGGCAAGAATTACAGGAAACTTTTAATTTTTATAGGGTAAAATGCAGAATTTTGAAAGTCTGTCAGTGTTTTCCTCTGCTTCCATCTTCTGCCAAACAAAATCAAAGTGGCGCTATTTTAAGTTTCTTTCTCATATTTTCCTCTTAGACGGAATAATCTTTTCTGAAAATTCACCTGTAATGGTTTTGCTCATATCTACATTTTCCAAAGGTCAGGTCCACGTTTCTTCAAAGATATGCCACTTATTTTCTTCAGATTTTAGGTAGGGAACTAAAAAAATAAATAAAATACGAAATTATTACTTTTGCTTACTTCAGAGTCAGCATAGTATCAATGTTTTTGCCGTCCTTGGAATCCAACCATTTGACATTTTGTTGGTGAATTCTCAGGAGCACTTTGCTAGATGCAATTATACAGAAAATTCACTGAGCTACAACTCATTGTTGGACATGACAGTTGATACTGAATCAATCTACTTGCAGCCATAATTCAGTAACATCAGCAGCTTTATTTCAACCACAGATTCCCCTGTCCAACTTTTGTTTGAAAATCTCGAGTAATACAGCATTTATGACTCCAGGTAAATTAATCCCCACTAGCCCTCATGGACAATTTTTTTTCCTTATTTCAAATTTGGAGATCTCTCTGCAGAGCTCACACCCATTTGTTCTTGTCTTACCCTTTTTCCCTTTAGCTTGCTTTTCTTTAGGTTGAACATATACTATTCTTTTAATCATGTCATGAGGTTTATTTATTTATTAGCCTTCAAACCCGACACCATCTTCATCGAGATAAACTAGAACCCCTTTGTACAAAAAAATCATGGAGAGTCTCATTAATTAGTTGCAAAAACACGGCAGGTGCCCTTTGTAGTCCGAAAGGGAGCACTTTAAATTGGTAGCATCCCAGTGGGGTGTTAAAAGCCGTCTTCCACTCATCCCCCTCCCTTATTCTGATGCGGTAGTATGCGTCTCGTAGATCTAACTTTGAAAAAAAAATTCCTTTAGAGAGATGGGCTAGCATGTCCTTCATGAAGGAGGGGAGTGGGTACATATTCTCCACATTGATGGCATTTAGATTTTTGTAATTCACACAGACGCAAAGAGCCATCTTTCTTACTGCGGAATAATACTTGGGGCTGCTATTTTTGGTCAAGTAGGTTCGATGAAATCCCTTTTTAGATTTTTATTGATAAATCCTCTGAGTTTTTTTAGTGCTCCGGGGGACATGCAGTACATTTTCGGTTTTGGAAGTTTAGCCCCTGGTAGGATTTCAATGGCGCAGTCTGTGGTGCAATGGGGTGGGAATTCATCGCTAAAAACCTCCTCGCTAAAAACTTGGGCTAAATCCTGGTACTCATTGGGGATATTAATCGGTTCAGCTGGCTGACCAGCCGTGGCTGGTTTTCTGTTGTCTGTTCTTTTCCTTTCCTCTGGGTTGTTTGCAAATGCTACATGTTTCTGGAAATGTACGGTTCCTCTCTTCCAGTTTATTTTTGGATTCCATTTCCGTAGCCATGTGAATCCTAGGACTAGTGGCCCTTCCATTCCTGGTGCTACAATGAATGTGAGCATCTCACTATGGTTCCCCAGTTCTATTTTCAATACTTCTGTGGCAAAACTGGCTGGCTCCCCCTCACTATAGTTCCATTTAATTGGCAGAAAGCAATGGGCTTTTCCATTTTCCTTTGTTGGATTCCCAATTTCCCTGCTCGGGTGAGATTGATTAGGCACTGGGTGCATCCTGAATCCAATAATGCTGCTACTTCCTCCCCCTTCCCTCGGCTGGGGATAAACAGTCTTAGGGGTAGAGTGAGTGGTTCAATTGGGTCGCTTACCAGTGGATCATCTTCCGGATCACTTTCAGACTGGCTCAGGTCTCCTCGGGGCGTTGGGGATTCTTCCTCTGGGTTTGGCGGGGACTGGAACCTCACAGCTTCTCGGCTTCTCAGGGCAGTTTCTTTTCCTCGAGGGTTGGATTTTCCAGGTTTCCCCCTGATGGGTGGTCTGGCTTTCTGGTGGGGTTTTTTGAATGGCATCCTGCTGCACGGTGCCCCTCTTTTCCATACCTAAAACAGTCAGATGGTCTTGGAATCATGGTGGTTTGGGGTTTGAAAAACTCCCGCTTTCCCTGGGGTGGGGAGCTTCTCCAAACTCTGCCGCTGCGGTACTGGTTATGGGCCATTTTTATCTCCGCCTCCTCTGCCATCAGGTAGAATTCATGCAGGAGGTTTGGGGTCCCACGGGCCAGGCAGGCAGTGTACTGATCATTGTTGAGTCCATCTTTCAACCAACAGACTAGGATATCTTCTGGCCAGTCGATTTGGCTGGCCAGGCCAGGTCAAGAAGTTCCTCGGTGTACTTAGCTATTGGGCAACGGCATTGCTTTACGACTCTAATGCCAGTCATCGGCTTTTTGATCAGCGAGGGAGTCTTTGAAGTGGTGGCGTAGGGCTGTCATGAATCGATCGAGGTTCCTCAGCTCTGGGGTGTTAACATTGTGGAGGGTTACCATCCATCTGCCGGCTGCCCCTTCTAGGGCCAGGGTGACGACTCGCACTCGGGCCCCTTGGGTCAGAAAATTCCACCCATATTCTTGCATGTAGGTGAGGACTTGCACCAGGAAGAATCCCAATTTCTGGGGTCCCCATTGAATTTTACCCCCAAGGGTGGGACCTTTCTCTGCAGTTGTATGTCTCTGGGTTGGCCAGGGTTAATCCCCTGCTCTGGAGTGGCAAGGGGTTGGGTATCTAACATGGCTGCTGGTCATCTGGCTTGTTCCATTGCTGGATCATTCTCTGCTGGATCAGGGATGATGGCTCGGATTCTCTCAATTTCTGGTTCACTCACTCTCCTTCGTTGGAGACCTGGTTCACCCTGCACATTGAGGCCCTCCAGGGCTTCCCTCATGAGGCGATTTATGTACCGCTTCAGTCGGTCATCTACCAGTGGTTCCTCGCCCCATTCTTCCTGATCTGATAGGGCCTCCAGCTCCATTTTCCACCCGGGTTTATGGTTACCACGGGTGAGGGTTACTCTCTTGGTTCTCCCATCCCAGCTGTCTCTCTTTCCTACACCTATAGACCATCGGGGCTTTGTGGAATTTTTGCAGGCTTCTTCAATGTAAGTTAATAAAATTGTTTATACAGTACTTGTGATGAATGAGGAAGTTATTTCCTTATTTTTTTTACTGTATTATTTTTTCTTTCTTTTCTATTTTATTATTTTTTTTTCTTCTCTGCACCTTCTAGTTTTTATTCTGTTTAGTTTACATTAGTATTTATTTTATTAAAGTAAACTTTAATAAAATTAGCTTTAAAAAGCAGAGAACTTTTTTGTATTCCCTGTATTTAATACCTTTATATGTTTGTATTATTCCAGATCATCTCAGTTTAAAGAGGAGCCTAAGAGCTATGTGGGGACCAACATAAGAAAGGTAAGATCCAAAACAGTGTTGTTTGTTTTTTTGGCTGTCCACAGTATTCTCTCAGGAGTTTTCTCCAACACCAACGTTCAAAATAATTGCTTTTCTTTCTATTCTGCTTCTTCAACTTTCACTAACCACAAAATGCCACAGGTAATACCATTGCTTGCACTGGTCATCTTTGTTGATATCAAGGCATCTGAATATCTTTCTAAAGTTTTCATAGCTACCAAATGGCAGTCTGCAATGTATTTCTTCACTGTTTATTTATTTGTACTTGATGGTTGATCCTAAAAGCTATCTGCCAATTATCAATTCTGAGACTGATTGTTATGGTGTCATTAGTTTGGTCTTTATCATTTACTATGAATTTTATTGCTGCTGCCCCGTTCTAATCTTTGGTGGTTATGGGAGGCAAGCCATAAAGTGCCCAGAGAAACCTTGTTTTTATGGGGCCATCTACAACTGTAACTTGGAAAGAAGAATGGATGTTTTTTAAAAATAATTTTATTAAACTTATCAGAATATAAAATCAAATGAAAATAAAAATAGTGGAAAATAGGGAAGGGAAAAGAAGAAGTGTAGGGCAAAGTAGAAAAAGGAAAATAAAGCAGGGGTGGGATTCTACCGGTTCTGTCTGGCTCTGTAGAACCGGTAGCTCTGAAGAGCAGCAGACATAGAACGGTTCTATGTCTGCTGCTGTTTTGGCCCACCTGCCTGCCTGGGCTCTTACCTGTCCTTTATTTCCTGCTTTTTCAACCTCAGCTGCTTTGCGCGGCACAGCTGCAGTTGAAAAAGCAGGGAAAAAGTGCTTTTTCAAATGCTGCACATTTGTTTTTGACTCTTTTTAGTAATGAAATAATAACATTACAGCACTTAGCGACCAAAGATTGCAGTCTTAATTATGATTGTAAATTGAGGACTCCCTGTAATTAGCTGGCAAGATTTTTGTAAATGGGCACTATGATGCTAGGCCCAGTCCTCTGGGATTTCTGCAGTGTGATCAATCTAAGTAAATGAAAGCAAGAACTGAGGTCCACCATTCCAAATTGTTCCATAATATTTCAGCAGTGATTAAAATCATTGCCTTGTGACTTATTAGACTTAAGCTGATTTTTAGACTTATTTATTAGACTTAAGCCTTCTTTTCAGCTCTTAAAACTGAGATCCGGTTGGAGAGAAAGTTAACATTGAGATATAGGTTAAATTTAGGAGAATTAGACAGTGGTCGTCCCACACAGATGAAGGTAAAGGGTATGGAAATGTAGGGTCCTATCAATGGGGTAGGAAGCAATTAGGCATCAGAATAAAATGGGATTTCTGTTTTGAGATTATAGCATCAGTTGCTGCCAGGAAGCCTTATTAAATTATCTTTTCTTGTTTCGTAATAGATGCTTCTATTGGTTTTTTCATGGACATAAAGTCCTGCGGAGGGAGAGGGGTGCTCAACTGGATTTTCTTTATATAATTTGAATTTTATAATCAATTTTCTTTGGGGCTCAAAACACTATGTCAAACCAAGGCTAAGAAGAATGAGCCTGTTTTTGCTCTCTCTTTCTTAGTATCTGAATGGTTGGAGTAACTGAATGAGTTTAGTAAATGTCTGCAGAAGGGAATTCCCAGAAATCTTTTTAACATATAACAGAGTGAAATTGCAACTTCTTTCTGAAGAAGCTAAGAATTTTGCTCATTGAGTTGCTGAATCCATTTGGTACAACCAGTCCTGGTTCTAAGTCCAGTTCTAAGGTTGAAGTACCTGTTCAGGAAGAAATTGCTGAATATTTTTTTAATTGTATCAGCAGGAAGATGGTCACGATCAAGTCAATTATCTAAATAATTTTTATACAAGAACTATTATATTCTATGATAGGGGTGTCAAACTCACCCTGTGTTTAGATCTGGCCCATGGGGCCAGCCTAGAAATAGCAAAGAACCGGCCTATGGTGCCTCCTGCAGCACTCTGCAGGCCAAAATCGGGTGTCGGGGAGGGGCTTGTGCCCTCCCCCGTGTCCAGAGGTGGTATTCAGCAGGTTCTGACCAGTTCTGGAGAAACAGTAGCGGAAATTTTGACTAGTTCAGAGAACTGGCAAATACCACCCCTGACTGGCCTCACCCCCATCTATTCTGTGCCTTCCAAGTCCCAGCTGATCAGCTGGATCTTCTTTTGTTGCCCTGCACAGGAGAACGGAGCTGGAAAGCAGGTTAGTGGGGTGGGAAAGGAATTGGATTTTGCACGCCCACCAAGCCACGCCTACAGAATCGGTAATAAAAAAAATTAATCCTACCACTACCTGTGTCCTATTTTTGGCCTGGGCGACCTCCTACAAAATCCTGCAGCAACCATAATTCGCTCACTAACCTGCTTTCCAGCTTTGTTCTCTGGCATGCAGGGCAACAAAGAAGACTGTGGGACTACCAGTAAAAAAAAAGTTAAATTAGATCTTTTAACTTCATGAGACCTTTTTCCCCCCAAGAAGTTGGAAGGTCTGATTGCACTTTTTTTTTAAACTGATAGTCGCATGGTCTTCTTTTGTTGCCCTGTACACAGGGGAACATGGAAAGCAGGTTAGTGAGGGAATTGTGGTTGCTCTGAGGTGGGGTGAAGATTTTGCATTTTGATCTGGAGTGGGGTTAGAGTGAGGATTTTTCATTTTGATTGCTCAGGGGTGGGGTTGGAGTGAAGATTTTGCATTATGATTGCTCTGGGATGGGGTTGGAGTGAGGGTTTTGCATTATGATTGCTCTGGGGTGGAGTGGGAGTGAGGATTTTGCATTATGAGTGCACATAAATAAGACCAGTAAAAGATTAATGGAAAAATCCCTATCTGTAGATCAGCATTTTTCAGTCTTGGCTAGTTTAAGATGGGTGAACTTCATGCTTCCTGGGGAATTCTGGGAATTGAATCTAAGTCTAAAACCATCTCTATCTATTGGACCAGACAGAATATGTGCCTAATTCTTAAAAAAGCTATCCACTACCAAAGGCGAACCTCTAAGCATAATCTTTGAAAAATCTTTCAGGACCAGCTCTTCCCAAACCTATGGTCACTAGCCACAGTCATCCACATCTTCAAAAAGGGAGACCCCAGCCTAGTTGAAAATTACAGACCAATCTCTTTATGTTGCGTCACCTGTAAAGTCATGGAATCAATTATTAACCAATCCATTATCCTCCACTTAGAGACAAACAACCTACTCTCTAACAAACAATTTGGTTTCAGAAAAAAACTATCCTGTAATCTACAACTCTTACACTGCAAAAACATATGGACTATACAACTTGATCAGGGCAAAGCAATTGACGCAATTTACATAGACTTCTGTAAAGCCTTTGATTCAGTGGTACTACTCCTAAAATTAAAATCTTATGGTATCTCTGGACACGTGCATAACTGGATTAGAAGCATTCCTGTCAAACAGGCAACAAATGGTCAAAATTGGGAGCGTCCTATCAAATCCGGTCAACAGTGGTGTCCCCCAAGGCAGCGTTCTAGGACCAACTCTCTTCATACTCTACATAAATGACCTCTGTGATCATATTAAGAGCAACTGTGTTCTTTTCGCTGATGATGTAAAGCTATTTAACACCACCGACAATACTGCTACCCTTCAAAAAGATCTCGACTATGTGTCAGAATGGTTAAACAAATGGCAACTTCAAATCTCAACAAATAAATGCTCTATCTTACATATTGGCAAAAAAATAATAATTTAAAATAAATAAAATACAAGCTGAATAGTCAAGACCTTGTTGATGACCCAAACTTTGTCAAGGACCTTGGAATACTCATCTTAAATGATCTAAGTGCTAGAGCCCACTGTAACTACAAAGCCAAAAAGGCATTAAGAGTTGTAAACCTAATCCTGCGTAGCTTTCTCAGGTAATATCACTCTACTAACTAGAGCATACAAAACATTTGCTAGACCAATACTTGAATACAGCTCATCAGTCTGGAACCCGCATTACATATCTGATATTAATACAATTGAGAAAGTGCAGAAATATTTCACAAGAAGAGTTCTCCACTCCTGTACTCGTAGCAGAATACCTTATGCCACCAGACTTGAAATTTTAGACCTAGACAACCTAGAACTACGCCACCTTCAGTTTGAATGGTGTAATTTTCATCATAGGCCTTGTTGACTCTTCTCCATATGTAGCATTTATGGTTGTGGCCAAAAAGCTCAATTTTGGTCTCATCACTCCAAATGACTGTGCCAGAAGGTTTGAGGCTTTTCTCTGTGCTGTTTGGCATATTGTAAGCGGGATACTTTGTGGAATTTGCGTAGTAATGGCTTCCTTCTGGCGACTCGACCATGCAGCCCATCTTTCTTCCAGTGCCTCCTTATTGTGCATTTTGAAACAGCCATACCACATGTTTTCAGAGAGTGCTGTATTTCACCTGAAGTTATTTGTGGGTTTTTCTTTGTATCTCCAACAATTTTCCTGGCAGTTGTGGCTGAAATTTTAGTTGGTTTACCTGACTGTGGTTTGGTTTCAACAGAACCCCTCATTTTCCACTTGATTAGTGTTTGAACACTGCTGATTGGCATTCTCAATTCCTTGGATATCTTTTTATATTCCTTTCCTGTTTTATACAGTTCAACTACCTTTTCCTGCAAATCCTTTGACAATTCTTTTGCTTTCTCCATGACTCAGAAGCCAGAAATGTCAGTGCAGCACTGGTTGAAAGATATAAACGGTTTTCAAGATGGCTGCGCACATGGATGCTGCGGCTAACCACTCCTTCTTTCAATGTATGGTGTGTATGATTCTGTGTGTGTTTTGGATCCTTTCCTTGATTGCATCCTGTGGGGCAAAGAGGCAAGCCTTGTTACAAATTGGACTGAAATGTGAAAAGGCTATTACAGATGATTTTATAAATTCTCATAACATACCGAAGGAGGCAGCTAGGCCCCTGGGGAAGCCATGGATCACTATCCCTGTAGGAAGGAGGAAGAGGCGGAGAAAGAACAGGAAGAGAAAGAAAGGATGCCGTGCTGGGGTTTTC